AAAGTGAGCAACTATGAGAACTACAATATAACATCATTTGGAAGGTTACATGCTGCCCAGCCAGGCTTTATATATCAGTAAGCTCCAAAGAGAGGACACCCTTCCAAAAATAGTTTCTGCTGTTGACACTAATGGTACTGGTTCTAACCACAATAAAGTTTATCTCTGAAGATAATACTGTCTGGACCACAGCCTAATTTGGAAAATCCCAGAGTTTAAAAGAAGCTGGGAGGGAAGTGCCCATTGACTTTAAACCAGGTAAGTGTGCCAATCCCAATTCCTCTGTTCAAAAAGTGGGATAAATAGATGTTTGGGTCTATGTTTTAATCTGGTTAGACAATGTTACTGTAAGTTGTATGATTTATTAAACTTTACCAATTCATCACAATAAATGCTCTTAAAATACATAAATACTTCTGTGAGAAGGTTAATAGTTAATTTTATCATCCTCACCAAAGTCTATATTGAAATCTTACTGACATTTGGAATGATGCCTTCAGCCAGAGTTAGTATTATGATATACAGAGCAGTCTTTCAAATATAGACAGCAATTTTTAAACCTTTTTCTTCAAATTAGTACTTTGTAGCCATTGACCACCACCACCCCACCACCACCCCCTGAAGTTTCAGAGTTCAGCTCCCTAAAGCTCCAGATGCCTAGACCAATGGTGATGAATTCTTGGACATGTTAACCTAAAAGGTGTGTGTGTGTGTGTGTGCGTGCGTGCGTGCGTGCGTGCGTGCGTGGGGGGGGAATCCGCACCAGCAATGTCAGCATCTTCTTAAAATTTTGTAGCTCAGAAGGAGGCTTGCAAGAGGAGGGTAACTTCAGGGATCTTTTCACTAATATATACCAGTACTGATTTCAGAGAGACTCCAATTTTCAGTAAATAGAAGGATTTTATTTAGAAATGTGCAAAGGTGCATGTAAACATACAAAACAAATGCTACCTTAGGTACCATACAATGCTAACAGAAAGACATGGAAAGTTGAATAGCAAGAAGCTGGGAATTAGAGGGGGTAATAATTAGCAGTCCTGAAGATAGGTCCACAGAAAATGAAGTGGCTCAGTTAAGAGATGAAGAGAATTAAACTGGGGTGGACAACTGTGGCCCTCCAGAGATCACTGAACTGCAGTTACCATCATCCCATACTATTGGCCATGCTACCTCATGCAGATGAGAGTTGCAGTCCAATCCAAGAGGATCTCACATGAGACACTTCTGTTGTACTTGATTTTATGGATGGATAGGCTATATGTTCACAAAGAGGTCCAGTTTAGCCACCAGGAGGTCTTTCAAACTACACAGTTATGGTACTATAATTCCACTTTACTATCATGACAACACCCTGTGATCTTCTGGTGTTGGTAATTTGGTAACAAACCCCTCTGAAGAAATTTGCTAAAAAAAATAATCCTATGATAGATTTGTTTTAAGGTTGTCACAAGTCAGAAAAAAACTTGAAGGCACACAACAACAACAATATCAACAAAGGCACAAAAGGAGCTCTTGGCTGAGACTTTCTATATTCCTCCCTAAACTAGAAGCCACAGGATTCCATAGGATGAAACCATGGCATTTAAAGTAGTATCATAGTGTTATAAATGTGTAGTGTAAAGGGGTTCCTGGACAGTATTACCTCACAATGAGTGGAATTGCACTGGCACAAAGGACACAAGACGTCTCTTTTTGGGTTTAAACAGGCCACAACTTTTATTTAGCTGTACAGGGTCTATTAACAAACCAATAAATATTAACAAATTTGTCACGTGTGTAAGTGAAGGTGTAACCCCCAAGTGGGTGGTCCTTCACTGCACATGACAAAACAAGTAAACAATAATAACAAGAAATTTACAAATCCCTCCCCCCAGAAATGATGTCATATTTTGTCATATGACATCATCCATTTTTATGACATCATGCATTTAAATGCATACGTCATTTCCTTTAAATTT